AACCTGTCTGTAACATGACATCACAATGAATAATCGAACTTGAAACATACAGAGATGGAAGAAATCATGAAAAGTAAATCATGGCTATGGAGATGCTTCTGTCTCCACGAATGAGTATGAATGAATTTCAAGTTCTTTATTACTCAGAGCAGAAAAGATCACAATGGAATGTAATGAAATGTTTGTAATGAAATGTGATGAAAATTCATTACAATGGAATGCTAGAAAAGAACAATTTCTAACAATGGTACTTTACTAGTCGTAGTATTGGATCCAGTCACTACTCTTCAGTTCTGATGTACGACCTTCTACCAAAGTTACATGACAATGCCACAAATGTTACATGACAGTAAGCTTTTGGGACAATTAAATGGATAAAACTTCAATTTCCTGCATAAAATCTGAAATTTGAAATTTAGACTTTTTATAATTTAAAAAGGCAAAATTTAAAATAACCCAAAACAAAAGCTAACAGAATTGGCCAAGCATATAACACTGAACCTTACATTTATACCGTGCTTCTATATATAAGAATGACTATGAAACTATCTTTTTGTAGCCATTTTTTCCCATAAAACTAATAGTCACTGCTAAAAGGGCTGCTCTCAACTTAGCAGACACTTTTCCTCAAATATTCTAGACATCAAAACGAACAGTAGCTGTCAAATTTTTACTGCATAATCTACAATGGTAATCCATTACTGTATTTCGTTCGTAATAAATCTCTGTGATAAGGTTAACATGTCAACACACAGCACAAATAAGAGAGCACCAAAAAATGAAAATTACTTTGCTTATGTTTCAGTATTAGAATTTTATTTGCTAAAGGGTAAAAACAGATTTGCAAAATTCACAGTTAACTTAAAACAATAGTTTTAAACCTTTATTCCTAGTCCTTACTGCCTTCAGGAAGGAAAGAACATCTGGTTATTTAAGGAACACAATATGTTCACATTTTCTATGACTTTTGTTTCTAATTGGGCTTTAAAATTTTTTTTTCTTTGCATTTGAACAACTAGCTAGAACAATGTTTTTTAATCACTTCATATTTTTCAGACTGTCCTCTTTCTATCCCTCTAAACTTTATTGGATTGTTTTTGGAAATCTGCTCAGTAGTTCTAATATGATAAAGGAAAGGCAATGAGGATTAGGCTTGTGGTCTGAAGAGCTAGGTACAGAAACCATTTTTACCGTGTTCAGAGAACAGCATGCTACAAATGGATACTTTACATTCACTCTGGTCATGAAACACACATTTTCAAGTTCCGAGGAGTTCTTAGGTCACTTATATACATGGTAGTTTCATTTATGACACATGCAGTGACATGCCTATTATGAATAGAAGAATTTGTAGAGAAATACATAGGTAGGATACCACTGTCTTTAAAATCACCTAAACTACTCTACGTCTTGTATGGAAATGTGATCCAGATGGAGTCGCTGACTCTGCTGTGATATGGTATCCGTCCTTTTAATAAGGCTTTAATACTCAGCTGGATTCTCACTAGGTCACTTATGAAAGGAGGACACTGCACTACAGACTGTCTAGGTTCTTTGTAGTTCTGAGACTCTGATACAATGAGTGAAGTACATGAGCTAGATTCTTTGTGATGTCTTCCCTGTTCCTAATCCTTGAAGGTTGTAATAGATTTTTAAATAATTCTGACTGATAGAAAATTAGGGGGTTAGCTACCCTTTAAGTTCAAAACATGGGGTAGTATCACCAAATGATAAAATGGCAGATGAAAATATTCCTTTGGTTTTAGTGGAATATGGATATGGGTTCCAGAAATATTCTCAATGAATGAGGACCCTCTAGATTAAAGTCAGTGCTGTATATTGGAAAAAGGTGTTGTGTTTGAATTAGAATTCCATTCTATCACTCTTGATACCAAGCACAGCAGGACACAAAGCCACACGCTAAAAGAAAAAATTAAATTAAAAAATCAAATGCGCAGGATTCAAGCGCTAAGGAAGAGTGACTGATCAAATATGCAAATAGATAACATGCAAGATGTTGTGAGGACTCAAAGGAGAGGACACATCCTAGCTGAACCCGGAAATGATGTCACAAAGAAGGAAGAATGGATGCCAGGAATCTGAAGAGGGAATGAACTGACCGAAGAGTTATAAAGCCACCACTGTTCACGTGGAAACTTACAAACTTTCAGACCTTGAGAAAGCCACATAACCTTAAACTCTACCCAAAAAGAATGAGGAAAGACAACCTTCTCTGACTCTGCATAGAGTTGCTGCTAGGACCAAATTAAAGACGGCAAAGTGCTCAGAAAACTGTGTCGGAGTGTGCTCCTACTATTACTTACAGTTCATAGGTCCATTATTTCAGTGTTTCCACAAGAAAGCCTACCTCTGATAGAAAATAAGTAAAGCTTAATGTCTCAAGGTCTACTAGTAGAATCTATCCTCAACTGAGACGTCTCTACAGGGTTTTAGGAATGATAGTAGGACAAAGTGCTTTTCTGAGGGCTGACAATGAACTTAGTAAGGTTTAGAGTTCTCAGTTCATTTTTATTTTATTGAATCTGTCAGCAGCACTCAACATTACTGTTGTAAGAAGCTGGGACATGGGGAAACTGCTTTCATGTCTCAAATATCGTCTTACTGCTAGTTCACTTCATTGAAGACTGATTCAAATGTTTTAAGTATTTTACTGTTGCATTTCAAGCACTGTGAGGTCTAGATTTCTGGAGGATCATCTTTCCCTCTCTTTTTTCCTCCTCGGCACAAATGGTTTCTTTTGCGACTAAAACAGAAATAAACTACAATGATATTTCTTCCCATTGGTGGATTTCTAAAACATAACTTTATTTTTTCACTTGTACCTTCGTAGCACTGGACTAGATGTTTTAGTTCACTGGAGGGGGTCAGTACTTTACAAATGACGTTCTGGTTGGGCAAATGTGACAAAAGAGAGCCTCAAGGTTTAGCCAGCATGATATTGCCAAAGTAATGAGGATCGTTGGTGGCAGAGCCAAGCTTGACCCAGGGTCCCTATTCCTTGCTTGCAAAACGCTATGCTGCCCCAGACCTACATCAGCACATGTGCCAAGTGACACAGGATATTACTTAAAATTCATTAAATGAGATCAATGGCCAAGCTGTTATTCACACTTGATTATAACTACCACTTTGCTGGATTAGACATCTCCAAGCTCCTTAAAGCTACACAGCTTTCTTTATCTTTTGTAGATAGATATCATCATGAATGTGCTCTCATGTAACCTTGTAAACATGACTCCCCCATCCTCCTCAATTTCTTATGTTTCAGAAACATCAGGTTAAGGTCCTACATTTTATATATTATCTTGACTGCATGTTCAATGGGTAAGACTTTTAATGTAAAGGTGGTGTATCATCCTTTACACAGAGGTATGCTATTACCTCCTATTAAACCTCAAAGAATCTATATTTTTAACTCTTACAGAATTTGCTTCATTATATACTTGATGATGTATACTACTTTATCAGGAGGTAAAAAGCACTTTAGTATAAAGAATTCTGGAACTGGATGAGTGAATCATAGGAAGAGCTACTGTATTCAACTAGGAAGAAATTACCAAGATAACAGGTTTTGAGAACCTATTCATTTCTCTCTTCAATTAAATCAAACAAACCACACAGAGACTGTAACACCTATTTTAGAATTTTTTTCATTCTGTATAGATTTCTAATACTAACCTGATGGAATCTGTCTTGAGTTTGTAGATCAAAACTCACACTGCCTTGACCAGCAACCTCATTCTTTATGTAAGTATTTCATCACCTTGGTGGGGATTTTTTGGGTAAAAAGTACTCATACAACTTGTATACATATATGTGCATAAAAACATAAATAAGGAATTTTAGATGATCATAGTCAGACTCTTCAACCTTACCAGAAAAAAAAAGTTCCTTAAACATCAGAGAAATGATGGATTATATTTTTGAATGCTTAATGATATTTCTTTGTGTAACAGAAATGATTTTGCAGAAACCAGATACATGCACAAGAAAATAAATTATTTTAAGTCAATCAAAAAGTAAATAGAGGATATGCTCAAAAGTTGAGTTCAACAACCAAGAGAAGGGCAGAAATCCTTTAGCCTCAAAATTTACATTAAGCTTGGAGGCCCTAGTTGATCAGCCAGAGCTTTGGCAGTGGAATCCACAGACAGACTGACTGACTCAGAGATGGCTTGACAATTGCCAATGTGACTGTTGGGGTGATTGCCAAGAAGCCAAAGGCTTGGATTACCATCCAGTGCCTGGCATTCAAAACTCGTGTTTGAAGCATTCTCTCTTATACTTCAGCCAATATTTTTGTTTGGCTCAAAAGTAGCAAGGATTCACAGATTTTTTAAGATGATTAAATGTTCGTATTTTCAAGAAATATAACATTAGTTGTAAAAGAGCACACTTTTTCTCTGAAGTGTAAAGAAATCACTTTACACTCAAATCGAGAAATCAGTGTTAAAGTTTGTTTAAGTCTTAATTTTATTAGGTTACCCTAAGCCCACAAAATAAGAAATACATATTTATAATATGAAATCAATCAATATTTCATTGAATCACCGACTTCTACAGAACTGGTCCTTCGTACAGATCTACTTTCTTGCTCTTCACATCGCTCCTGAAGCTTTACTTGGATAAGTCATCCCTGTTGAGGGTCCCAGTAAGAATAAAGTGTGGCTACAAGGAGAGGTGGTTGCTCAGTTCTCTCCTTGCTTTAGGAGGGAGGCAGGACAGCAGGACAGCAGGACAGCCCTCTGGGGGACAAGAGACGTGTGTTCTAGTTTACCACAGCAGTGTCCGCTTTATCTGTCTGCAGACTAGCTGGCTGACGATGGGAGTAAGTTTTGGCCTCCATTCTTAGGCAAATTTTAGCATTAGGGAATCTATCTGCCATTAGGCAATACTGCTTTTGGAATCCTTAAACACATACAGAGAAGCCTAGTTTGCACCCAACTTGAAATTACGCATGCCTTATCAAGGAAGCTTACCTTCGGGTCTCTAAGGAACAGAGCCTTAAGGATTAGCGAGTGCACATCCCCGATGAGTGGGTAATGCATCAGAAGGCCGAGGCAGGTCTGGTAGTTGCTGGAGATCACTAAACAAGAAGGAAAAGTAACTCAGCTGCAGCACTGCTTAAGGTGTCCTGCAACACTAAGAGAATAAAAATCACAACTTAAAGCCAAAGAAAGCAAAGCAATAATTCAACTGATTGGATAAAAAGAAGGAAGGAGAAGGGATCCTTACCAAAATGGCCTTTGAAGCAGCTCACTGTACCGCTAACTGCAATCTAATATACTAGCACTTATCCTCAGGGGGTGCTGGAGGGAACAGCTTCACATACAGATATGTGCGCACGTTCGCAATATAAATAAATTCTCAGAAACATGCATATTTATTGCCATTTATATGGCTGCGTTTAAATGTCTCCAGTTTTGCTGCTTAGAAATTAGTAACAAAAACCTTATGAAGGAGAAAGAACCAGTTTAGAATACTCATAAAATAATATTTACCTTGATTACTATGCTTTAAAACATATACAGTTATTCTTTTATATATAAATATTACATAATTAGAAATTTAAAAATATAATTTCCTCCAATTATTTGTTTTTCTAAAGGTAACAAGAAATTTGGAGAGGAAATATCTATGCAGCATTTCTTGGAGGAAAAAAATGTCAAAATCTTCATAGATAAGTTCCACAGACTGTCATTTAATTTTTTTAAAATCAGCCTAATTATGGGCACAATTATTAAAAACATGTTTCCAGGCAGGTCTATGTAAACGACTTCACTGCTTGGCAGTCTATGCACCACTGCCGTCACAGTTGGGCCCCTCACGGTGCCGGCTGTGTGAGCACACAACTGCCTCCATGGCGCTGGCTGAGACGAAACTTTACAGTTACAACTTCCCGTGCTTGCGACCAATGCCTTTTCATTCACCAGTTCTTTGAAAAATGTTCCACAGGAAAACAACCGTGAGTCAGTAGAAACAACACGAACCACAAAAATAAACAATTATTTGTAATCAGAAATACCGTTGAATCTTAAGACTTTCTTTCTCCTGTTGAAAAAAAAAATCCTTCCTGTAGCTTCTCACTCCCTTCTCTCCACCCATGAGTACTATGGCAGGAGGAGACAAGACTGGGCAAAATGAGTAATTATAATCGATGTAAGGAACCACTTTATCATCTTCATTTCCACTGCCGATCTGACAGCTTGTAATTTCATACATCTGCTTTCATTTGTAAAGCATTCACTTATCCTACCCTTTCCAGTTCTTTTCCAGATCCCTCCACATTCTTTTTATTTGCTCTCTTTTGCATATATACATTCAGTGACCTGCTGTCCTTTTGTCTCTAGAAATTCAAAAGGCTTGGATACTGAGAGCAGTGCAATGGTTTCATGTTGTAGTTTACTTTGAGTTTTAACAAGTGAACAAAATTGGGATAATCAATATGACTTACAAATCAAGAAGTGATTTTTCCAAATTCTATAATGATTATCATTTAGAAACTGACCACGGAAGACTCTTTACATAGTTTTGTAAGAGAGGCAGGAGAGTTTTGTGGGAAGGGTTTTGGGCTCAGTACTCAGACGTGGATGTGAACCTGGGGTCCCATTTACATTTTTCAAAAAGTCACCTGAAGATAATCGGTGTGACTGACTCCCAGCAGCTGTTCCAAGGCTGTGCGAACAACCTCTTCGCGCAGAGGTTTAGTCAACTGAAAAACAATTTTCTGATGAAAAATAATAAATACTTGCCTGCCTCACTCAATCCAATAGTTATGTGTTGAGTACTTAATCATGACAGGCCCTGTGCTAAAAGGGGATGTAGAGAAGACAGCACAGTCCTGGCTGTAAGGAAAATCAAACCCCAGAGGGCAGATGTGCAACACCTCACTTAGCTACTGCGACCACTTCCGCTATGATGACAATGAATTCCTGACGGCTCTGGCCAGGCCCCAGGCGAATTGCTTTACCACACCACCTCATTTAATTTCTATGACAGTCTTTACATGAAGGTTCAATAATTATTACAGATGCAAAACTTGATGTTGGGAGATACTGTTACTTGCCTAAGCTGCACAGTGATTCCTTGGTGGAGCAGGCACTGAAATTCAGAAAGCTAGCTGAAGGGTCCACGATCTAGCTAATATACGGTTGCGTTTTGAAAGGTCATTGTTTTGAAAATCAATGACATAATGGATGTAAATAATACTGTAAATAGTAAAGTCCATTACTACTATTACTGTTATGTAGTAGTTTTAAATAGCCTGGATGGTTAGCATAACTTACTGTGGAATAGCCTGATATATGTATCTGGAGTGACCAAGTAACAATTCTATGTTATTACAACTTGACAGAATTTTGGAAGCTATCAGAAGCTATAAATATACAAGGCAAGCCAAATATGAATAATGTATTAATATTCTACTAGCAAACAAATGAAGGAGTTAACATTCATCCTTCCTTCCTTCCTTCCATCCGTCCATCTATCCATCCAATCAATGCTTGCAATATTTCTTGAGCATCTATTAAATGCCTGACAGATGCCAGGCACTGAACTAGGCACATAATGGGGACTAAGTCCGTGCCCCCTGCCTTCAGGGAGTGCCATCCCTAATCTATGCAGGAAAATCTGCACTTTTGGAGCATCTTTAATTAGCAATTACATAAGCTAAATATTAAATCTCTTTGTGAATAACCATGCCCCATTTATAGTAGGTAAAAGAGAACTATCCAAGCTGACTTAAAAGCAAAATAGCAGGAATCTGTTGGAATAAGAATTTAGTTTTGATCTTAAAATTGTTGTTGGACATGAAAAACTAATTTGCAATGTTGCTCCTCTTCCGGTGTTTATCCTATCAAGGCAGGGCAGTGACATGCAGGAAAAAAAAGTAAAAGATTGTTAAAAACCATTGAATGTTGCTGCCTACAAACACTTGAAATAAAGTATGTTTATGCTTTATGAACAAATATTAAGGTTCCACTCTGAAGAGATGATTCAGTGAAGTTCAAAACAAAGGCGACTGGGACCTAGAAAAACAATTTGGAATCGGAAGCTCAGATTAGAACAGTGGCCCTGTCACTTACTATGTGTGAACTTAGGCAAGCTGATTAACTTCCCTGAAACTTTGCTTTTCCCGTTTACAAAACAAAAGCTGTCAGTATGAATCACAGTTACTTATGTCAAACTCTTAAAAAAAAAAAAAAGGAGCCTGTAACCTGAACAGCTACACAAGACTTTCCCAACCCGATCTTTGCAGTTAAGCCACTGCTACGGATATACTTTGTACTATCCCAGCCTGCAGAAAGCCCTTGTAACCAACAGTCCCTGTCTCGCAGCGGTGTGTGTGGAATCCTGCACTGCAGGGCTTCCCCAGCCCCTCAGCCGCATCCGCCCGGGCCCGACCCCTCCAGGCTGCAGACTTCCCAAAGGAACTCTCTGCTTCTGCAGAGTTGCTCTCGCAGTCACTCACTTTTGGCTGACAAGAGACAACACTTCTTCCACCCACAGGGTGTCTGTGCAGGTGGCACAGAGGTAGAAGTCATGCCTCCCCATCCTGCTACCTCCCCATCCTGTTTGCTTCTTTTTTTTTTATTTTTTATTTTTATTTTTATTTTTTTGACAGGCAGAGTGGACAGTGAGAGAGAGAGACAGAGAGAAAGGTCTTCCTTTGCCGTTGGTTCACCCTCCAATGGCCGCCGCGGCTGGCGCGCTGCGGCCGACGCACCGCGCTGATCCGATGGCAGGAGCCAGGAGCCAGGTGCTTTTCCTGGTCTCCCATGGGGTGCAGGGCCCAAGCACCTGGGCCATCCTCCACTGCACTCCCTGGCCACAGCAGAGGGCTGGCCTGGAAGAGGGGCAACCGGGACAGAATCCGGCGCCCCGACCGGGACTAGAACCCGGTGTGCCGGCGCCGCTAGGCGGAGGATTAGCCTAGTGAGCCGCGGCGCCGGCTTCCTGTTTGCTTCTGTTTCAGAACAGAACCCCGCCACTTGTCTCTCTCAACCTTTAAATGGCCCGCCACTCTTCTGGAGTGGTCAGAGGGAGCTAGTTTAAACTGTTGCCCCAGTAGAGAAATAAAAAAAGAGTAAAATCAGTAAAGATAAGCAGAGAATGTGACAGTCTGACAAAGTTTAAATTAATGCAAATCGATAGCTTATGTATAACCTAAAGTTAATTCTACCTACAACTGTAACATATGTAAAGGCAGCACTGTTTCAAATTATTTCATACTGAGATATACTTTCTCAAAGTAACAAAACGGACCAAGAACAACTATCACAAAACATGAAACTATATGTAAACTTTCTCCAACTTTCCAACCAGTTAAAAAAAAAAAAGGCTGTCAAATATTAGCTACGGAGTGCCTGTAACATGCCTGGTGGCAACTTGCCCTATATTTACTAACACTCCAAGAGTCCTCCTAAGCCACAAGAGCGCCAGCATTCCTCCCTGGCGCTGATGAGGAGGCAGCAGCGCCGTGGCCAGAGGGCACAGCCACGGTGGCAGGGCTCCCGACCAAGGGCAGAGGCGGGGCAGGACCTGGGGCTGTGGAAGCGGGAGCCTTGCTTTCCATCTCTCTGTCTGATACGACAGGGGTATCTGTCCTGCTATTTTATCCAGCTATTTTTCAATCACAGAGAAGCCTCAAAGATACACCAATCAAAGTCCTAGATGTATTAGACCAGAAATAGCAGATATTTAGAAACAGGCAGACATTCTTTTGCTTAGCTATAAATTGACAGATAAAAACAAAGAGATTAAATATAAAATAACGAGCTAACCAAAAAGGAAAGCTTAAGGCTTTCTCATAGTTCACTGCACTTCTCCACTGGGAAGCGAGTCAATGGGTATGTCAGTAGCTGTGGGGCTCCTGGCATGCAGAAGGCGTTCGGTAAACGCATGTGCCCTGAAAAAATACTGTTGAGGTCCTACTACGTATAGGAAAGAATACATAATACAACCTGCAGTGCTTAAACTGTTTAAAGACCCTTACCGTTTTGGCTTTCCCCACATAAAATGGCAACACACAAAATGGAATTTCAAATGGACCATCAAACAAGGGGAGAAGGAGTAGGGAACAAATCA